TGTGAGCGAGTCGCACTATCAGCTGTGGCAGCAGGGGCGAGAGAGACTCCAGACGTGAGGTCAAACAGTGAGACACCGTCCTTAGAATCGCTTAGTAAGAACAGCTGCAGGTCGTCTAGCCACGCGTCGAACTCTATCGGACGGCCCTCTGCATCGAACGAGAGTACACTGAGGGTGGCCATAGCGGCCAGAGCAGTAGGGCGCGCTAGTAGTAGGGCAGCACGCAAGCAAGGCAGGGCAGGGCGGCAGCCAGCACGGCAGCACGCAGGCAGGGCAGGGCGGCGCGGCTGCAAGTGGCGCGCGCGGGCAGGGCAGGCGGCGCAGCGGCCAGCAGCGCGCAGGCAAGGCAGGGCGGCTTAGCGGCGCGGCGGCTTGCGGGCAGGGCGGAGCACGCGGCGGCGAGCTGCGCGTGGGCAGGGCAGGGCGCGCGGCGGCGAGTGGCGCGCGTGCAGGGCGGGGCGCGCGGCGGCGAGCTGCGCGCGGGCAGGGCAGGGCGCGCGGCGGCGAGCTGCGCGCGGGCAGGGCAGGGCGCGCGGCGGCGAGCTGCGCGCGGGCAAAGCAGGGCGCACGGCGGCGAGCTGCGCGCGGGCAGGGCAGGGCGCGCGGCGGCAAGTAGCGCGCGGGCTGAGCGGCGCGGCGCGGCAGCGAGCAGCGCGCAGGCAGGGCGCGCGACGCGGAGGCGATCAGCGCGCGGGCAGGGCAGAGCACGCGGCGGCGCGCAGCGCGCGGGCAGGTCAGAGCGCGCGGCAGCAGGCAGCGCGCGGGCAGGGCAGGGCGCGCAGCAGCAAGCGCGCGGGCAGGGCGGCGTGGCGCGGCGGCGAGCGGCGCGGCGCTAACAGGGCGGCGCGACTCGTGGGGTAGCGCGGTTCGGTGGGCCCTAAAAAAACGGTCCTAGGCTAGGACCTGCTCTGAAACCATGTCAGCAGAATGGACGAGAATGAAGTGAACTAGCAGCATGCAGGAGTACAAGTAGCAAACCCTAATTGGGTTGTACCCCATATGGGCTACCCCACTATAGCCTACACAATATGCAGCATATAAGTTTGACAGTAGCATGTGCTCCCACCATTCTTCCGTGTCCGACAGCCCCTTCCGGCTCGCTTGCAAATCTCCACCTCCCCTCGTTCACTACGAACTTGGTGAGTAACGCTGTCCTCCAGGACCAGTTTGTCACTGTGACTACTCTTGAGGGTGAGCTTGTGGCAATCTATACGGACCCACGGATTGGCGCCCACCTCGACCCGTTCACTTGGAGACCTGGGTCTGGCCTGTACACACTGATCACTGAGTCTGCACGGGTAGCTGCGTCCGGTCAGGTAGCTACGTCTTGCTCGTGTCAGTTACTCACGCACTCGTCTCTCCTCTGGCACCACCTTCTGGGTCACCCCTCCCTGCCGCGTCTGCATAGCATGCACTCCCGTCTCCTTGTCTCTGACCTCCCCAGGTCCCTGCCCCCGCTCCCTCGGTCGCTTGCGCCGCCGTGCCTTCCCTGCGACGAGGGGCGGCAGCGCGCAACTCCTCACTCTTCGTTTCCTCCGACCACTGCTCCTCTGAAAACTCTCCACATGGACGTGTGGGGCCCCGCCCGCGTCAGTGGACATGAGCGAGAGCGCTACGTTCTGCTGGTTGTTGACGACTACACGTGCTACACCACGGTCTTTTCCTTGCAAATCAAGGCGGATGTCCACAGTATCTTGATCCCTTGGATCTGCGCTGTCCGTCGCCAGCTCACCGCACGGTTCCAGCAGTACCTCCAGGTCATGCGACTGCAATCTAACCGAGTTGGTGAGTTTTTCTCCCGCCTCCTTGAGGAATATTGTCGTACGGAGGGCATCACCTAGTCGTTCACGCTTCCGGCCTATCCACAGCAGATGGGATTGCTGAGCGCCGCATTGGCTTGATCATGGAGGTTGCTCGCACCTCCCTGATCCATACGGCTGCTCCTCATTTTCTGTGGCCGTTTGCGGTCTGATATGCCACGCATCAGCTCAACCTCCGGCCCCGTGTCTCCGTGCCAGAGACCTCGCCTACACTGCGTTGGACGGGGGAGGTTTGCGATACCACCGCGGGCAAGCTCTCTTCTCGCACTTTTCGCTGCGTCTTCCTTGGCTTTCTCACCGACGCGCATGGCTGGCAGTTTTACCACCCAGCCACGCGTCGCGTCGCGTCTCGGGCGTCACCTTTGACGAGTCGGCTGGCTACTACCATCTCTTCCCCTGCAACACTTCCCCCTCCCCCCCCCCCCCCCCCCCGCCTCTCTTCCTGGTTCCAGGGTCCCCCCTGGTAGACCCCCTCCCCCCACAGGGTCATGCTCCCTCAGGTGTGTCTTTGGTTGACCCACCCCTCTTGGTTGAGCCTTTGGAGGTCTCCTCTGACACCTCTGGCTTAGCAGAAGGGGGTGACCCTGCTGCTGACGATACATTAGCCACTCGCCGCTCACCGCGCTAGGAGACCCCTCCTGGTTTTCCGCCTCGGCCGTCTTCGCTGCCTCTACAGCATGTCGCTGTGGACTCCGGTGCTGCTGGGGGTGGTGACACCGGAGGTGAGGACTCTGGGGGTGCTGGTTCTGGGGGTGCTGAGTCTGGGGGTGCTGGTACTGGGGGTGCTGAGCGTCCTAGTGGTGGTGGAGTCGTGGGTGCTCCTGGTGGAGGTTCTGGGGGTGGACAGCAGCAACAGTCTCGCCAGCAGGAGACTCTCTCGCCGCAGCAGCTTTTCGAGTGGGTTTTTCGGCGAGGCCGCTCTGGTGGCGGAGCTGGATCTGCTGGTGCTGGAGGTGCTGGAGCTGGAGGTGCTGGAGGCGCTGGTGCTGAAGGTGCTGAGCTGGAGGTGCTGGAGGTGCTGGAGCTGTAGGTGCTGGAGGTGCTGGTGCTGGAGGTACTGGAGCTGGAGGTTCGGGAGGCCCTGGTGCTGAAGGTGCTGGAGGTGGGGGTGCTGGTGCTGGAGGTGCTGGTGCTGGAGGTACTAGAGCTGCTGGTGCTGGAGGTGCTGGTGCTCGAGGTCTTGGAGCTGGCGGTGCTGGAGGTGCTGTTACTGGAGGTACTGGAGCTGGAGGTTCTGGTACTGTGGGTACTGCGCAGCGGCGACTGCTTTTCTTGCCTCAGCCGCAGTCGTCGCTGCCACCACCTGACTCGGCGCTTCGCCAGCTTCTTAGTCTTCCGTCGTCCACTAGCTTTACTCCACCTCTACTGTGTCCTCCGCCTGACCAGTCACAGCCGCAGTTAGAGCATGACTCCCCACTGCCTGCTCCTTCTCCTTACACTAAGCAGACAGACTCCCTGACAGAGCGTCGTGAGCCTGCTTCTCGTCCTGCCTCGCCTGTTCGCACTGCTCGTCGTGCTCGTCGTGTCCGTCCTCCACCAGTCGCCGGCACACAGACTATGGCACTTCGTTCTTCCTCTGTTCCACAGCGTGTTGCACTGCCGTCTGCTTCGGCGTCCTCTCTTCCTAACATTCCTGACCCTGAGTATGACCTTGCTCGTGCTGCTAGTCCTACTGTCACGCGTGTCCTGGCCACACTTGTCACTGACCCTTCCTTTGAGTCTACTGCCGCATCTGACTCAGTCACTAAGCTCGTTGACTTTGCTCCTACCTGTCGTCTTGATTACTTCGCCAGTCTTGTTACTGAGTCTGACTCTGACTGTCCTCCGTCCGTCAGGGGTGAGCTTGCCCTTGGCAGTGACGTCCTTGAGGACAGGCAATTTGAGCTCGAGTTCCTCACGGCTGTTGTACCTCATCTCACTTCCATGCTGCTTTGCCCTGAGGGAGACCCGGATGCATTAGACATCCCGACCCCGTGCTCTTACGCTGAGGCGATCTCGGGTCAGTACTCCTCTCAATGGGAGACAGTCACGGAAGCAGAGATGGCTTCCGGGAAGTCCACAGGCACCTACGTCGACGAGGTTCCCCCTCCTGGGGCGAACATAGTCGATGGCATGTGGATTTTCCGGGTGAAGCGGCCGCCGGGTTCTCCGCCTGCCTTCAAGGCGTGTTATGTTGCAAAATGCTTCAGTGAGGGACTGGGGGTCGACTTCTTCCAGACTTCCCCCACTCCGAAGATGACCACTCTTCGGGTGTTACTGCACGTTGCAGCACAGCGTGACTACGAGCTCCAGTCGCTCGACTTCAGCACAACTTTCTTGCAGGGCAGCCTACACGAGGAGATCTGGCTGCGCCGCCTACCTGGCTTCACTGGGTCGTTTACTGAGGGTACCCAGTGGAGCCTCCGGCGGCCAGTCTACGGCCTCCGCCAGGCGCCTCGCGAGTGGCACGACACACTTAGGACGACGCTTGCGGCTCTTGGGTTTGCTCCTTCGACTGCTAACCCGTCGCTGTTTCTACGCACTGACTCTTCTCTGCCCCCTTCCTACATCCTCGTGTACGTCGACGATTTGGTCTTTGCTACTGCTGACACTGAGGCACTGGTCCTTGTGAAGGCGGAGTTGCAGAAGAGACACACGAAGATAGATGCGCAGCTCACCCGGGAGAGAGCAGCGCGCACCATTACTCGTACGTTTAGACCAAAGTTTGTCCGGTAGTACTTATTGATAAACTAAAAACCCTATTACTCCTCTGCCTTCCCCAATCACGCTTTGACTTCCTAACCAACGTAATAAGTGAACGCTCTCAGATTGAAAATCCACGTAACTTTTCCCCAGCAGCGCTAACAGTACCTTTAGAGCAAAGTTTGTCCGGTTGTACTTCCCGATAAACTAAAAACCCATATAAGAGAGGCCCTTGTAGAGCGGACGGGCTCGGTTTTTCACCCCGCCCCGTCATACTCTCTGCTGCTGACGAATGATTGACTTGGGCGACTGCGACACCCAAATCTCTGCCAGCACATCCCCCATCCCACCCACCCAGGCTGCTAGTTTCAGATTTTCCCTACTACAGTGCTTCGGCTTGGATTTTTGTTCGTCAGAAACTATTTTCTCAAAGCAGCACCTACATCAGTCGACGGTTTTAATGGTTTACGATCTCCTAGCGACCTCGCAAAGCAGCACATGGCGGAACAGAAGCTCTGCGGAGGTGCCCCGGCGCGAGCCCCGTGCTGCCGCCCTCGGCGTCGCTGGTTCCCATCCGCGGCGACAGCAGCGCCGCGCCTGCCCCTTGTGCTACTAGCCCTCCTCCTTCCGTCCGTGCTCTTGCCACCCGACCAACCGCAGCGCGCCGCGGCACAGATAGTCGTGAGATTGCCTGTGCTTCTCTACGGCTGCTGGACCATCCGCACGCGCACTTTGCGCTTGGGGCGCAAGCGATCACATCATCACGTCCATTCTCTGTTGCCTCGCCCTCCGCCGCCACCTTTTCTCTCTCCTCCTCTCTCCCCCTTCCCTCCCTTTCCATCTCATCACGCGGCAGTTTCCTGGCATCGGCGATCCTCTGGTGCTGTCGTGCTCCGCGGCCGGCATGATGTGTGCCACGAGCGGGTACAAGTGCTACTCCTACAACTCCTCCTCCGTCCACAACTGTTCCTGCGATTCCACCCCCCCCGCGTGCACCAAATGGAATGGTACGATCCCTGAGTGAATAGGGCGTACGGAGCGGCTCCCTCCCTCTGTATTCCACACACCCGCTTCTGCGCCCCTCCCTCCCTCCGTCCGTCCGTCCGTCCCTTCCTCCCCCTCCCTCCTTCCCTCTCTCCCGCTCTCCCTCGCACTCACTCCACCACTCCGCTCCCCACCCGCCCTCTCCCCACGTATGTGCGAGGCAGCGCCGGTGCCCCGGTCGTGCACGGACCCGAAAACCATTCCTTGTGTGCCCGGCGTCTGCGTCTTCAGCGGCGCCTCCTTCCAGGGCTGCTCCTGCCCCAAGGGATTCTTCCAAACCGCCACCCCTGCTGGCTCCCCTTACTGCGCTCCCGGTAACACACCCACCCCCATCATTTGTATGATCATGCCTGTGGAGTGCTGAGAAGACGCACATTTCTTGCACCTCCATGCGTTTTGTGCAAGTGGCACACAGAGAGTGGGGTTTGGTGTGGGTGTTCAGGGCTTAGGCTGGGTTGGCCTCACACCGCCTGCGCTGCCGACTTGCCAGCACAAGCGGCCAAGCCAGAGGCAGTCCTGTGAGGTGTGATGAGCGCAATAGCTTCTGGTACTCTCACGAGGTGATTACAAGTTCATGTTGGTGCTGCCTTGCTCCTGGTGACGCTGCTGCTGCACAGGCGTGCACGCAGGGTGATGTGTGTGGGTGTATTGCATGCCGTGGTACTGGCATAAACGCATAAGGCGAAATCCCACAAGCCCCCATCGCTGGAGAGGCGTACATGAGAGGGTGTGTGCATATGGCTCAGAAGCCATGAAGCTTGAAACCTGGTGTTTCTTCCCTTTCCATAGGGCAGCCAACTCCCATTCCCCCATCCCCGTGTGTCATTGTCTGTTCCTTGGGTTTCCATTCTACAGGTGTTTTGTCTGTTGGCGGGTCATCACCGCCGTCCGCCCCACAACCGCCACCATCACGACCACCACCGCTGTCACCGCCGCCACCAGCACCAGCATCAGCACCATCACCATCAACAGCACTACCATCAGCACCACCACCATCAACAGCACTACCATCAGCACCATCACCATCAACAGTACTACCATCAGCACCACCACCATCAACAGCACTACCATCAGCACCATCACCATCAACAGCACTACCATCAGCACCACCAAGTTCAAAGCCAGGCATGGAAGGCACCTCCTCTCAGCCACCCCCGGCAGGCCAGGCGCCCTCTGCAGGTAACCATGCAAAGTCTGAGGGTGCTTCCCTGAAAGCAAGTATGAGCCCCGCAAAGTACCTGCAGGTAACCATGCCAGGGCTTCCATGCCAGTGCAACCCTTGATGACGATTCATGCACTCTCAACCGTTAGCAATGTCCTGACAATTCCTCATGCACGACATGGCATCCCCTTCGCTCGACTTTATCCCGCTCCACTGTCCCCTTTTTTCTATTCACTCTTCACAGATCAATCGTCGGGCGTGTCAACGGGGGTTATAGCAGCGATTGCGGTCGGCATCGTTTGTCTTGTGCTGCTCGTCGGCGTGGTCGGATTCCTTGTGTGGCGACGCCGACAGCGCAAGGAGCATCACGAGAGTGATGCGGTGCAAAAGGCGTTGAAGGCAGGCGCAGGGGACAATGATGATGACGAGGAGGGTCGACCAGGTATGACGACAGAGAAGCTTCTGATATGCTTTGCTCACGAAACTGAAGCGCACACGTTTTCTAACATTCCAGCTTGCATCTCCCGCTCTCTCTAAAACATCCTGTCAACGCCTCTTTTCCCCCATCCCTCTCCTCAGTTAACCCCCCCTCTCCCCCTTCCCACCTCCTCCCCGCCTTCCCTGAGCAGAAGTCCTAGCAGCAGCCGCAGCAGCTGCAGCAGCAGCGGCAGCAGTAGTCCCTGCAGCAGTTTCATCAGCCCCAGCAGCAGCGGGCGGGCCTGTGGTGTGCCGGGAGCTGCCGTACTGGGAGGTGGTGAAGGCAACCAACGAGTGGTCGCCAGGCAACCTGATCGGGCGGGGGGGCTACGGTGACGTGTACAAGGGAGTGGCACCGTCAGATGGGTGCACCGTGTGGGCTGTGAAGCGCGCCCGCGTCATCACCAAGGACTTCCGCCGAGAGGTGCGCGGGTGGTGGGTGGGTGGGTGGGTGGGTGGGTGGGTATAGAGTGCAAGCGTTGGGAATTCAATCATGGTGCAATGGCGCTGCTGTGATGAGGATGTGTGCTTCTACTTATGGGAGGAAGCGGCCAGAGCTTCAGACGAATCCATGCCCACTTCGGTGACCAAATGCATTGACAACTCACACCACCTGGCGTGCTTGCTGTCCAATCCAACCCGCGCGGGGCATGACGTGTGCATGGTGCATGACGTGGCATGGTGCATGACGTGGCATGGTGCATGACGTGGCATGGTGCATGATGTGGCATGGTGCATGACGTGGCATGGTGCATGACGTGGCATGGTGCATGATGTGGCATGGGCAGGTGGAGCAGATGGCATCGAAGCACCACCCGCACCTGGTGCGGCTGCTGGGGTACTGTGTGCACATGGATGCGCGCACGGAGCAGCACGAGCAGATCGTGGTCTACGAGTTCATGCCCGCCGGCGACCTGCAATCCTGCATGCCCTCCCACCTCGCTGATGCGCCTCAGAAAGGTGGGGAGTGCGGGGAGGGTGGGGCATTGGACAAAGATGGCCTGCTGTGCTGTCCTACGTGGGTGCATGTCTGAAGGTCAAGCCAAAGTGGGGTGAAGGTGAAAGCAAGGGTACACGGGAAATTGCAGGTGCACGTGTGAATAAGCCACCCTACCATCTCCATATCCCATCTCGATCGTGCCTCTCCCTTCCCCTCCTCCCATCGCGCACACAGTCACAGGCGGCACTCGGCCGCCTCTCTCGCTGCAGCAACGACTGCAGGTGCTTGTGGGAGTGGCGCGTGGGCTGCAGTACCTGCACAGCTTTGGCATCGTGCACCGCGACATCAAACCCGCCAACATCCTGCTCGACAAGCACATGACGGTACGCACACACACATGCACTCTCATGCACACATGCACGCACGCCATGCATACATGCGTGCACGCACACAATGGCAAGTCACCCAGGCAATGTTCACTATGACTCGCTATTCTGTGGACGCGATTCCGCTTGTTGGTTAAAGTCGCCTTCCATCTGCCTCCCCTTCCTCTCCTCTCCACACTGCATGCTCCCACCACGCCTGTGTCCTCCGGGCATGGCAACGTGGCAGGCCAAGGTGGCGGACTTTGGGCTGGTGAGGATGGGCGATGAGGGCACGGGTGACACGACGCGCATTCTCGGCACACCGGGCTATGTGGACCCCGCATACTCCAAGTCGCGCAAAGCCGCCCCCACCAACGACGTGTACAGGTGGGCGTGCCTGCTGCTACAGTGCCCGGTGGAACGCTGATGACCGGTGGTACAGTATGGGGGCTGGTGGTGTGTTGTGCTGGTGCCAGGGACTGCGATTGTCAGTAATGCCTTAAGTCAGGTGCCATTTAAGTGGTGCTTTGGTGGTGCTGGCTGGTAAGCATTGTAAGCATGGTGCTTTGATGTTAACCATGTTGCACAGCTGTCCAGTCCTGGCTTTTTTTCTTCTTCTTCTTCTTCTTCTTTTCTGTCATGCCGTGTCTTGTTGATGTGTTGTCAACCTTGTTTTTTTGGGGGGGGGGGGATTTTCTGCCCCTCAGTAATGTCATAAAATGACATTGTAATTTTGACTTCCCTGCCCATAGAAATGATATTCAACTTGCTGTTGCCTTTGCTATGCATGCCCTTGCAGGCGGAGCCGCTGCTGGCAGCACTGGATGTTGAAACTCTCAAAGACCCATGCCTTGATGCTCCGCCTGACATCATTCTTCAACTCACCCAGCTGGCCCTGCAGTGCACAAGCATGCCTGTATCAAGCCGACCCCACATGGACCAGATTGTTGTCAGACTGTCTGACTTGTACACGAAACTCTTTGGGCCTGACGTGGGAGCAAATGGGGAGTCCATTGACTCAATTCTTCACCGTGTTGAACATCCAGATCACTCGTTCGATGAGGCGATTGCCATGGCTGGTGCTGCAGGGAACCAAGGATCTTCTGACTAGTACAGCAATATGTCTTCAGGACATGGTAAGACTACACCCTTGAGTACACTAGCCTAGTTATGTATACATACAAGAAATAAGAGGGCGGAGATGGGGGACGGGGAGGGGAGGGGGAAGGGAGAAGGGGAGGGAGAGGGGGAAGGGGAGTGTTTGTAGTAGATAACCTAAACATATTACATTAAGTTATTTTCATTGTAGAAGTATTTTCGTAGTACAAAACTTGCTCGGTACACTACAAAGTATCGTATACCATCATGATACCATCATGTACCGTATACTGGTACTTGCTAGAGTAGCAGATAGTCATGCAGCTGGAGAGGCTCGCAAATGTTTTGTGGGGAGAAACAACGGGAATTTGGTTGAGGGTGGTTTTCATAGTACCATAGCACTTAGCGGCCCAGCTTGTCCGGAATTGCAGTTGCTCGATTGATATATTCTTCCACTCTTTCTTGACTCCCCATCTTCATATTGTCCAATTGCCTCTGAAGAGATGCTTTTGCCACGGAATCCTTCGCCTTGTAAGTCTCCATCAGGTACTCTCATGCTTCAAACGCCGGGCTGTAGGATTCTTGAAACACGTCCAGCTGCGGCTGAATTGTTGCGCTCACGCTGTGCAATAGTACTCAAAAAGCCAGCGTAGACGTTGTGACTAATCTGCCTGCAGAATTTTCAGCCGTTCCATTGCATCTCGGATGTGTCCATTCGCCATTGTAACCGGGTATTGTAGCGTCACGAAAAGCTCCCACAGGTTTGTCACACGCGCGTTCATGCTAAACCAAAGAGCCCACTCTCGGAATTTACCCGTAGTGCCGTCGAATGGAGTGGTTGTGAACGCTTTGTCCATCGCTGCTCCCACCATCTTGCGTGACAACCTATCATTGACTTCTTTCGCGTACTCGCGTGGAGACGGGTCGAAGAGCGTAGGCACGGTAGACGGTCGAGGTAGTTATACCGTACGTTGTGTGCCTTCACGTCCCACCACTTCCACTTGATCACGTCGCATAACACCAATTGAATGCATCCCGTGCCCCATGCGGCCCATGCTTCCTGCAGCTACAGCTTCCATTTGAGACCGCGGCGCACGAGGAGGTACGACGTTGTTGCCGAAAAGGTGAGATCTGCCCATTACGGGAACTCCAATGGGATGAGAGTTAGTGGCAAGTCGTCGTAGTGGGGGGGCACTGTCAGAATCAACTGTGCATGAATGACTAAGAACAGGGCAGTACAGGTTTGTGTAGGCTCACTCTAATTGGGGTTGTACCCCGTACTGAGTAACCCACTATAGGCTAGCAAGTAGAATTGTATTTTGACACACCCCCATAGGCTAAGTGGGGGACAACCAGATGGTCACAAGACCAGTCAAGCAAGAGAACAAGCAAAGCAAAGCTCAAGGTGGATCTCAAGGACACCACACAGTCTGAGCACAAGCAAGTGGCCAAAAGGCCAGTTCACATGCAGAGTTATAAGAACAAGGCAGTACACTGATTACAACCTAGCAAGAGTAAACATGCAGGTATAAATATATATATCAGTGTACAACAAGAGCAAGTCAAGCAACCAGCAGGTGAGGCAGAGTGGGCACAAGCCCAAGAGCAGTGCAGAAATGCTGATGATCACCAGACCCAAGGGCCTTGGTGAAGACATCAGCAGTGTTGGCCCGAGAGGCCACGTAGGCAAGGCGCAGCCGACCATGCTGCTGCAGCTCACGCGCAAGGAAGTAGCGAAGAGCAATGTGCTTCGTTCTGTGCTCCAGTCTCTGCTCGCGACACAAGGCAAGCCTTGCCTTGTTGTTGACGTACAGAACTGGAGGAGAACGAGGCCGCTCCCCCAAGTCGGTCAGCAGGTAGGTCAGCCAGCGTAGCTCCTGTGCAGCCATGGCCCCAGCGTAGATCTCGGCCTCACAGCTTGAACCAAGCACAGAAGAAGAACGAGTGGTGACCTCCACGAGACAGAACCAGAGCCAAGACTGAAGGTGTAACCCTGTGACGAACGCTGAGTCGCCTAGTCGTCGGCCCAAGAAGCGTCAGAGTGTCCTGTGAGTACCACTGAACCGCGTCCTCCAAGCACGAGCCCCATGCCCGATGTACTGCACAAGTAACGCAGTACCCTCTTCGCAGCATCAATGTGCACCTTTCGGTGTCTACCGGGTGCCACGTAGCGAGCCAGGAGGCTGAGAGGGTACGCGAGGTCAGGTCAACTAGCTCAGCGACTAAGGCAGACGCAGCAGGAGACGAGAACGTAGGGTCCGTCACAACTGTAGCAAGAAAGCGAGTGACAGTCAGACTGGAAGCACGAGCAAGGTCAGACGGATGGTCAGCAACGTCCGGAAGAGAAGACGCAGGAGGTGATGGTAGGACAACACGCTGTGGAACAGAGGAAGGACGGAGTGTCATATCGTGAGTGCCTAGGACAGCCGGAGCACGAGGACGACGCACACGACGAACACGAGCTGGAACGGAAGCTCTAGTCTCAGGCTCTCGACGCTCAAGAGTGGAAGCACGAGTCTCAGGCTCTCGACGCTCAGTCAGGGACTCTGTCACAGTAGTGTAAGGAGCAGGAGTAGGCAGTGGGGAGTGAGGGAGTAGCTGTGGCTGAGACAGTTCTGCTGGTGGGGTAGTACCAGTGACAGGGAACTTAGTAGGAGCTGGCGGAAGACCGAGAAGATGGCGAAGCGCACCAGCAGGTCCAGCACCTCTAGCACCAGCAGCAACTCCAGTACCTCCAGCACCAGCAGCACCTCCAGCACTAGCAGCTCCAGCACCTCCAGCACTAGCACACCTCCAGCACTAGCAGCTCCAGCACCTCCAGCAGTACCTCCAGTACCTCCAGCACCAGCAGCACCTCCAGCACTAGCAGCTCCAGCACCTCCAGCACTAGCAGCACCTCAAGCACCAGCAGCTCCAGCACCTCCAGCACCAGCAGCTCCAGCACCTCCAGCAGTACCTCCAGTACCTCCAGCACCAGCAGCACCCCCAGCACAAGCAGCTCCAGCACCTCCAGCACCTCCAACACCAGCAGCACCTCCAGCAGTACCTCCAGCACCAGCAGCACCTCCAGCACTAGCAGCTCCAGCACCGGCAGCACCTCCAGCACCTCCAGTACCTCCGGCACCAACAGCACCTCTAGTACCTCCGGCACCAGCAGTACCTCCAGCAGCAGCAGCACCTCCAGCATCCCCAGCAGTACCTACAGGACTAGCAGCTCCAGCACCAGCAGGACCGAACCCTCCACCACCAGGACTACCTCGCCGCACGATCCACCCACGAATCTGCTGCGCCGAGAGCATCTCAAGTAGATCAGGCTGCGGTGGGTGTCCAGCTCCAGGACCTCCAGCAGGGTCACCCACAGCTCCACCGCCACTAGGACTCGCAGCACCCCCAGAGTCAGCACCCCCGGTCGCAGCACCACCAGAACCAGCACCCCCATTCGCGGCACCCCCAGAACCCTCACCCTCTGTCTCAGCACCCCCAGGCTCAGCACCAGCACTCTCAGCTCCAGAGTCCACAGTAGCAGGCTGCGGAGGCGGCGAAGACGGCCGAGACGG